TGAATAAAATAATTTTCTTTCCACTTATTTAGTTTTTCTACAATAAGACCTTAGTCCCACGCGGACAGTCGCATGACTTGTAGACCGAATTTACTTCTACAAATCTATTTTTTTTATTTTCAAAAACTGATCATGTTTTTCAAAGAAAAAACCGGTGACAATAAAAACACAACTAAATGAACATAATAACCAACAAAAAATAACGCACTTTAAATAAACTGAACAAGAGGTTGTTTCACTGATGCGAGAAAAAATCTTGTCACCATCTGAAGGGTTTTCCGAGTTTTGTCGAAAAGGACTGCATTTCGATAATCCCAGATTGTTTTAATCAAATTTTCAATTTCGAAAATTATATTTTTATGTTGTCCCACAGTGAGATCATATGAGGGAATTTTCTCAATGTAAACGATTTGATTCGTTTCACGCTCAATAGACACATGAGTCCCATCGGCAATCGAGTCCCTGAGCAGGTCATATACTGGTTGAAAAAAGGACACTCGATCCATAAATGATACGCTGATTCAGGTTGATCACAAAAGACATTGTTTTTCTAGTTCCGTTCTGCCTACCCGTGCACAGTGGGCATTTTTTGCTACAGCAGGCGGACTTCAATGGTAGAGAAGAAGGAAGAAAACGCAATGGGAGAACACCAACACTGTAACACAAAGTGATGTGCCTTTGGATTACGCTCACATAATCAACTATGGAACATCCTAAACTATTACTCATTTTCTTTTTCATTTTTGATGTACGCGCATGATGTATCACATTCTTTCTGATGCGTCATATATTGTCATCAGAATGTTCACATCACAACATACGATGACGCTATCAGAATGTTCCAATGTATTTTATACATATATATAGGCGTGTTTCTGTATTGTTTTCTGCATCAGAACTATATTCGCTATAGTGTTTCTCATCTTCTCTCAGTTCTACTAATAAACTTACTCACGCACAATCAAGTTTGACATTCAATATACACGTCACAAGATTCACAGATTACTACGATCTTTTTGATTAGACTTCAGGTGCAAATTTCTAAGGTAATTTTGTTAAAAACACACTTTTCTTGACAAGTATTTCTAACCTGTCTTACTTGCATTAGAAATAGTAAAAAATGCCATCAAAACGAAGAACTCTGCTGGGCAGAAGTACGTCAGCTGCGAATAGAATGGCAGCCTCAAGAGATGCTGAGAGTCTAGAGCGCAGACAAATTCGGCTTGATGATCAACGTTCAAGACAAGCTTCCTCAAGAGACGCCGAGAGTTCGGAACAGAGACAAACTCGGCTTAGTAGTCTACGTGCAAGACAAGCGGCTTCAGAAGGAAAAGATCCAAGCGTATTGTGCCATATCCCCGATCGGTAATCCATAGAAGACCATAGCGACGTCGTCTTCTCATACGTCAAACATGTACTATCAAGTTATCTAGACCGACATCGGGTACTTCCGCTAGTAAGAAATAAAGCAGACGGCAATTCGTAAAACAATTCCATTGTTCGTCTATTTATTTCATCTCTTTATCAAAGAGATGAAATAAATAGACGATTTGAACAATTTGACAATAATCAATGGTGCATAAACGAGAGGTGGATGACTATTTATAGTAAGTAACATTCCCCCGTATTTTTCTCCACAACGATTCTAAGACAAAGAGTCTATTTTATTTCGTCCGTTTGAGTCTCTCATTCTCTTGTCTAATGGATCCTCATTCTTGTATATACAAAACCTGAGATACCTCGATTATTCATATTCTCTCTTTATCTATATAATTAAATCTTTTGATAAAGAGATGAAATAAATAGACGAACAATGGAATTGTTTTACGAATTGCCGTCTGTTTTTGAAAATAAAAAAAATAGATTTGTAGAAGTAAATTCGGTCTACAAGTCATGCGACTGTCCGCGTGGGACTAAGGTCTTATTGTAGAAAAACTAAATAAGTGGAAAGAAAATTATTTTATTCA